AAGAAAATGTTTTAATAGTTTACAACCTAGTTTATTTATTTATTGATTATCCTTTATTATTTTATTATCCTGGTGGCCATTGCATTTGACGTCCTCCCATTACATAAAGATGCAAATGATAAATCGATTGTGCTCCACCACGTCCACCTGAGCCTTGCTAAGTACTTGCGTGTAACTAATATGAGATGACCTGGTGATAAACAATAATGAATATTGTGTTTATACAAATGAGATGTCCTGATAATAAACAACAATTAATATTTGTATGTGTAATATCAATTTGAATTAGTTTACAAACCTAATAGTATGTCACTGCCATCATCAGTTGCCTTTGACAACTGATTATAAATCAGTATTAACATATATTATTATTATATTATTATTGTCTAAAGTGTAATTCGATGAAGAATTAATATGTTTTTAGTATGGTTGAAAAGACTGCCTAGCTGTCAATAACTTGAAAATAATGAATATTATTAGAGGTAATGTTACAAAAAATTTAAATCAATATTATCAATAAATAATTTGTAGAAATTGTTTCTAACCTGTTTGGTTCTGTTTTAGATACATTTACAAACAGAAAGCAGCAAAATGGTTTCAATTGATAAACAAAGGTTGCCAAAATTTTACACAAGACTTATTTTCAATGGTTAAAATTATATAATCAAAATAAAACAGTTTTAATTCCATCCTGTTAAGTAGAAATTTGTTAGCATTGTTAATTTTTGTATTAGTTTAATCAAATTTTTAAAATTAAAATTCAAATTTATATTTGTAGTTTGTAATTTAGGTTATATTATGTAAATTTGTAAATTCTTAATTAAAATATGAAATAAAATTAATATAAAAAATGGTTTTATATTTACAGCAAATTCTATTAAATTTTTAAGTAACATCAAAGACAGCACACGTTAATTTAGTAATTTAGAAACGTAACAAAAACGAAATCGTTACGTGTTCGCGCAATTTGGAAACGTAACAAAAACAGGCCGTTACGTTTTTGAGGCGGAAATAGAAACGTCTGTGTGCCTCCTGGTTACGTAACCGTTATGTTAGACGTAACATCTTTTACGTACACATAACGTTTTAATTACGTTTTGTGGTTTACTGGGTATAATGCGTTTTTATTATGTTATTATAATTATGTTTACTTATCTATTATATATTGCATAATTACGATCAATATGCTTTTGGTCGTGATGCAATTAATGTTTGCAACCAAATGCAATTTTTGAAAATCTAAAAACTTATTGTTTTAAGTCAAAATTATTAGAAAAAATTATAAATCACAAAAAATATTTGTTGGTAGCTGTACTAGCTAAGTATACATACAAACATAGATAAAAGAAGAGTATACAAATTTCACATATGTTACTGGAGATAAAGAATATAGCAGGGTTATCGGTATTATTTATTCTTTACTCATTCATCAACATTATAAAAATAAACTTCGACATATTATTCTGGAAAAATTATGTGAAGAAATTATACGTTAATGAATTTTTAATAGTATAGAAAATTTATAAAATGTATACTCATTTTCTAATAAATTTCTAATATTTATTTAAAATTGAACATTTTATAAGTTAAAGATTATTAATAAAATTATTTTATTTATTTAAATATAATAATTGCATTTGAGAATCACTGTGAGTGATCTGTGAATGTTAAATTATGTATTTATGAAACAGTGAGTGTTTGTGAAACTTTAACAAAATTTTAGTGTTATGTTTATTAAAAAAGTATTAAGAACATGAAACATTTGAAACGTGACCGCTCAACAGTATACGAATCAAATGTTATACATTTCTAAATGGATTCAAATACTTCGGAAACTACTAGTATATTATCAGAAGTAAATATAGACAAAACATAAATTTATCTCAATAATAAGATAATTCACATTATATTATCTTTCAAGACACATCAAAGTGTACGAACTCCAGATTCCGAAAGTCACAACACGTCTGCAGTCTTAGATTATTGCAAATGCAAGGTAAAAAAATATTTAAGTACTGCCAAAAATTTTAATATCTTGTTTATTAAAAATATTTATCCGCTAGTAAACAAATTAAATTCAAACCAAATAAATTGGTTTAAAAGTTATTATAATATATATTCAATAGTATATTGAATAGTATATATTATTCAATAATATATAGTTCAATATATTGAACAATAATATTATTATTGGTTCTAAATAACTGCTCAAAAAAATAATTAAAATTGAATATTTTTTATAAAATTAAAAAATAGTGTATTTATATAAATTGTGTAAATTTAGGAAAAAATATCTTGAAAAAAAATGCAGTAAAATAATAGTTGGAAATATTCAGAAAATCTATAGAAAATACACAATTTTTTAGTTTTATAAAAAATATTCAATTTTAATTATTTTTAAAAATTATTAAATTTATTTTAAAAAATATCTATAGATATCAATAATGAATAAATTTATCGCTTTTTTATTATATTATCTCAAAGTAATATATAATATATATTTTATAATTATTATAAAATCTCTCTCCGTTCTAATTTAAACCGATTAATTTCTTTATGAGATGAAATTGAAAAAAAATGTAAATTTAAATAATTCATTCAATTACATTTTATTAATCATCTTTAATTTTGTTTTATTATTCTTTTTTTATATATCAATTATTTATAATTTTTCGCACTCTTCTCACTATATTAATTTCTATTATGAACTTGAAATAATTCAATTTCAAGTTCCACAATTTCTATATCAACATCATACTGATTGTCCGTTGCTTTGTCTAGCCTCATCAGTTATTATCACAATATTTATTGTTTTGCACATGGAGGTCATTGCCATGGGCAACAGGAACAATAAATACAATTATATTGAACGAAAAACGTATTTAAAAAAATCGAAAATTAAATTAAACGTACCTTTTTAAGCTATTACTGCCGTATGCTTGCATTCTTGGATTGATGGGCCTAAGGCCTATGTCAATAGAAAGATCTGCTACATGGAGCCCTACATCGTTGTTAGGACATACACAGACTGCATTTATTGGTATTTCTCTATTATTTGGTTACTTTATTCAATTTGCTACTTGTTTTAGGTAAGTGAACTTATTATATATTATTATAACATTCAAAATATGAATAAATCGCCGAAAAATATTTATTATATAAATTAAACTCACCTTTGTTTACTATAGCACGTGGGCGTTTTTTAAATATTTCGGCTCCTGAAAACCGTTAGAGCGGATGTACACGTTAGAATCTAAATCGATTTTATGACTTCTCTTCCTTTTAGATATTAATTCTGATGACTAATGTTAACAATTTAATAATCCATTACTATTAATACCTTATGGTTTCCAGACGAGATAGAGGATATTGTTTGAGAAATAATAACTCATCTTCAGACATTTTAGTAAAATCATCACAATGGCCAAATGATGAAAGAATTTGCAATGCAAGTATATTATTTAGCTACGTAATTCCTGGCTTATTGCATTTTTTTGGATACATATATTCTGTTATTATATTTCGAATTTCTGACAATGAACATTTGCAACACTTGATAGAACGGGTATAAAATTTAATATAGATGTATCACATAAAAAACTGAGAAATTTAGGAAAGTGTTTTTTTTAAGGTCTTCATATTATCATCAAGTCCTGGAGAATTGACAAAAAATCCCAAAAAAATACTACGAGTATTATGGAGTTTTATAATATTCGGTTTGCTTTGGACAGTTTGCTCTTGCATGACTGTAAATTGGATGACAATTAAGGAAGACCATATTGGCTGAAGTGGATTAATTCATGGTTTGAACAAAACACTTTTTATTATTATTATCATAAATTGAGCAATGTTGACTACAAATTTCACATTTTTCTAATTTGTTTTTTAAAACAGGTAGAAATTACCATAGCGGTTTTATTTTTAGGCCTTCCATGTTTAAGACCATTCTAAAAGCTTTAGTTATATACACTACTTTATGCCAAGATGCAGTTCAAGCTACGGTAATAGCTTGTTATTGTATTCAAGTGCAACTACTCAAATATCAATTACAGTTTTTGCGAGAAAGACTCGTCCAAAGAACAATCCAACCACTTGATTGGATGAGAGCAAGTCTTCATATTTTAATCAAACATTAATGTATGAATTGTAATCTATAATAATATATGATATTTATTTTAGGAAATAAGTGAATTTCGTCTATTGTTAAGACATCTAAATGAAAAAGTGTCACCAGCAATAGGACTTTTCACAATTGTAAATGTTTCATGGACTTGTTCAGGTCTAATATGGTTGTTAAATTATGATAATATTGAAAGTAGCAAGCTTTGTCATATAACAGCTCACATATTAAATGTTTTTTTGTGGCTGGTTATAACAGCAGCACCTTTTATTCAAGTAAGAACATTGCAAGTAAAACAGAATAAAATATTCTAATTATTTCAAATTAAATAATGTTTTTTATATTTACAGGCTGCTAGATTGACAACAACCTGTGTTTCGCTGAAAAGTGTAGGACATGAAATTGTAGTAAGACCTTTTGTACATATGGATACATCACATGAAGATCTACACACAGTTTTGCTTTATACATCAACTTTAAGTATAAGTGCCAAATTATTTAGAATACCCGTGACGCCCCGTTATCTATGTTTTATAATATCTATGGCCTCAGTTATAACACTAATTTTGGGAATGTGTCATTTTTTGCAATTTAGCCCATAAGTGAAACTGTTAAGACGTAATAATTTAGTGTGCATATCAATAACAAAAATTTTGTAACTCTAGCTAGAATATAAATTTATTCTACAAAAATATTATGCAATATATGATTACAACTATTATTTCATAACATATCAGTTTTAAAATTAATTACTTATATAAATTATCATAATTTGGTTTGAGAAACTTTGAAGGTGTATTCCTTTGTTCAGTGTTTTTTCGCTTAATATTATACTTTGAATATGTTCTAGATTCATTATTTCCCCGCTGTCCCGTCTTGTCTATATAATATTTTTTGTCATCTCTTTATCTGTAACATCTGCCTCATCTTTTGGTGTTCTTTGGCAGCCTTTTCTAATTCTTCGAGTTCAAGAATTCTTTCAATTTCAGGATTCATACCTTTGTATGATAGTCTACCAATAAGTAAGTCTTCACATATGGCAAAACTTGTTTCTTCTATATATTGTGATCCTTTGTTGTGTCTCATTTTGTCTGTGATTTCATTGCTATACATATTCCTACCTTCCTCATCTTCTTGCTCCTGTTGAAACTTTTCTTTTGTTCTTTTCATGAATTTCATTTCCAAAATTGATTTGGAAAGTTTCCTTTTGTGATTTTCTCTAGAAGTCATTTTGGTAATTGTGTTTTTCACTCTATAATTAAAAAGTCTTAAATTTTGACAATGAATAGTAAGAGGTTATATATTTATTAGTGGCATGGCAAATAGGTTATATTAATCGTTCATGTGAAATTGTGAAGTATGATCGAAGTAACTGTCACAATAGATCGACCATAGATGTTTTGAATGGTTTTAAGTAAGTGTGAAGTTTTTATTATTCGAGATAATCAAAACAAAATATTGTAGTAAAATTTCATCAAATTAATTGTTAGTGTGAATAAACTTCACATATTTATATAATCAAAACTATAACAAAATATGATCATTCGCAAAATATTGTCGCCCTGCCATCTTTTGCCAAGATCTGTCAAACATTTTGACATCTGATCATTGACAGCTCTCTTGACAGTTTGAAATTTTGACAGCTTTAATATTATTTTTAATTGCAAATTAAATTAACATAAATTTTAAATATTTATGAAAGAATGGATAAAAGTAGTGTGGTGGAGGTATATTTTGCAGATGATGTTTTAATGATGAATTTGTTATAATACATCCATGAATAATATTTATAAATTCAATTACAGACAAATGTAGATGATCCTCTAAATTCTAAAGAAAAAGAAAAATGTGATTCAAATGTACGAACACAGATCTTTCATAAGGAATATCAAATATTAGCTGAATAGTAAATATTAATTAATTTGTTTTACTTATTAAATGCTACATCTTTACATATTTATATTAAAAGTTATTTATTTCAGCAAATTGATACAAAATGAAAATATTACGAATACATACGTTATTCCTTCCTTTGAAAGCTCATTTTGTAAGTAAAATATGTAACCAAAATAATATATAAGTTTATAATACTTATTCGATTTCGAATAGTTCTTCATAATTGAAAGAATATATAATTATAAGAAACCTTAAATTTTTAGTTAGTTTTAACTTTTTTTCTTTATTTATTATAATGAGTTAATATATAAATAGTTTCATTCAAATAAATCTATAAATTTTTACAGTGTGGTTTGGAGTTATATTTTTACATGAGGATTTTATGCAGAAGCTGTATTTAGATTTAATATAATAATACCAGAAACATTTCCTGATAGTGGGGTCCCAGTAAGTAAATATTTGAAATAATTAACTATTTGAATAAATGAAATTTTTGTTTTCACATAACTGCCGTACATCTGAATTTCTAACGCTTTTAAATTTAAAAGTCATTTATATATATTTCTTGTATAAATCTAAAAAAATATATGTTTTTAGACTGTGATATTCCAAAATAAAGTATACCACCACACATCAATGAAAATACTGGGTGTTTAGATCTCTCTATAGGATTTTCCAATTGGAAATTTTCGGATAATCACATTTGGCAACTGTTAAAGTATATAAAATGGGTATTTCATAATGCAGATGCCAATCCCAGAAATGAAATTTTAAATAAAGAAGCTTTTGAATTATTGCACAGCAACAGATCAGAATTTACAGATAAAGTAAAACTATGTGTGCAGGCAAGTATAGAAGCCATATATGATCCACCACCTACTACTGATAAACATTATATAGCATTTGAAAAATACAATGAAGCAATACATGAGCCATTACGAGAGATGCTTAGGAATGATGAAAGCAAATCATTACCAGGGACGTTAACAGATAATAGATCTAGCGGTAATTTAGGTCTGTCTTGGATTGAAAAAGGATCTTTCACACCCTCTTTCTAAAAACAATTCAGATGAATCGACATAGCAGAATAAAAATATGAAATACAATTATGAGATTTGCTGATTAAAAACAACTCATCTGATTTATTACATATCGGTTTTATAGAATTTTGTGAAGATTTATTTATTTGAAAAGTGTCCTTTAACGTCTATTTTATTATTAATATTAGGTTTTCATAAAATGAGATATTAACTTAGTTGATAGAGTTTACAAATTTATTACAAATATTTTTATTGCTCATGCAAAATATTCATCAACACTCTTCAAAGCATTACAACAATCTTCAAAGAAGTAGTATAAGAACTTAGATTAATTTCCATTAACTACAATTTAAAGAAATAATTGTTGTGAATATATAATTTATTTATCTAATTTAGATTCTAAAGCAATACTAGTTATAGTTTTCAGGTTGTCATA